TTGTTTTCATATAAAAGTACTATGTCGCTAACTTATAAAAGTTACTAGTACATGGCCCATACCGATGACCGCTTCAGATGGAGTTCAGTTTTTTAAACTCTGAGACTATTGAATTAGATTTTAAATAAAACTAGCGTTTAACGCACCTTCGGTGCTTCGAAATTTTTTGACAACTCAGTAAAATCCGCATATATTGGAAACAACATCTGCAATTTTTTAGTGTACTCTGACTGCACCCAATTACAAACTATTATTTTTTTTTAATTCCCATTTTAAAAGCGTCATCTCCAACGCCTAATGAGCCTCTGGAATTCGGAGGCCAGATTTGCAACCACTGAGAGTCCCTGAGAGCACCCTACTACAGGGTAAGGAAAAGGAATCCAAAATTTTGTGAACCCCTTTAAACCTAAGTTTCCCGAAAAAATAATTGAAAAAAAACGTCCTATCTCGGAAACTAAAAGGATTTGTGCATTCATATTAAGAGGCAAGATTTGAGATGCCTGAGTGTACGCTGACAATAAGGTTGTATCTTCATCAAGCTGGTACTTTCAAATTTTTTGAATTTCTTTGTAGATAAGTTCTTTGAGAAATTTTGAAAAAAAAAATCAAAAAACGTCACATCTCGGAAACTAAAAGCATTTGAGCAGTCGCGTTTATCATTCGCATGTGGCAAGATTTGCAACTCTTTAGAGTACCCTGACAACACCGAACTATAGCGTTGGGAATTTCAAATTTCTAAAAAAAAAATAATTTTAACTTTCTGAAAATTTTGAAAAAATCACAAAAAACGTCACATCTCGGAAACTACAAAGAATTCGGTAATCATATTTGGAGGCAAGATTCGGAATCCTTGAGAGTACTTTGACAGGACCTAACTACAGGGTTGGGAATTTCAGATGTTTAAAGAATAATAGTAATTTAAGTTTTCTGAAAATTTTTGAAAAAATCACAGAAAACGTCATATCTCGAAAACTACTAAAATTTGAGCAGTCACACTTGAAGCCAAGATTTGCAATCTTTGAGAGTACTCTGAAACGACCTAACTTCAGGCTTGAGAATTTCAGATTTTTAAAAACTTATAATAATTTAACTTTTCTGAAAACTTTTGAAAAAATCACAAAAAACGTCATATCTCGAAAACTACAAAAACTTGAGCAGTCATATTTGGAGGCAAGAATAGCAACTTTTTGAGATTACTCTGACAGGACCCAACTACAGGGTTGGGAATTTCAGATTTTGTAAAAAAAAAATGTAAGTTTTCAGAAGTTTTTTTTGAAAAAATCACAAAAAACGTCATATCTCAAAAACTACAAGGGTTTGAACAATCATATTTGGAGGCAAGATTTGTTACTCCTGAGAATACTCTGGCAGCACCCAACTACAAGGTTGGGAATTTCAAATTTGGAGAAATAATTAATTAAAATTTTCTGAAACTTTTTGAAAAAATCACAAAAAGACATCATATCTCGAAAACTACAAGGATTTGAGCAATCATATTTGGAGGCAAGATTTGCGATCGTTGATAGTACTCTGACAGTACCCAACTTCAGGGTTGGGAATTTCAGAATTTAAAAAAATAATAATAGTTTAAGTTTTCTGAAAAATTTTGAAAAAATCACAAAAAACGTCATATCTCGAAAACTACAAAGAATTGAGCAGTCATATTTGGAGGCAAGATTCACAATCTTTGAGATTACTCTGACAGGTCCCAACAACAGGGTTGGGAATTTCAGATTTCGCTTAAAAAATTTATATGTTTTTCTGAAAATTTTCTGAAAAAATTACAAAAAACATCATATCTCGAAAACTACAAGGATTTGAACAGTCCTATTTGGAGGCAAGATTTGTACCTCCTTAGAGTAATCTGACAGCGCCCAACTACAGAGTTGGGAACTTCAAGGTTTTTTAAATTATTTTATTATTTGAAATTTCAGATAATTTTTGAAAAAATCTCAAAAATCGTCTTATCTCGTTAGCTAAAATGAAAATGATTCGGGCATTCAAAATTGGAGGCCAAATTTGCAACCCCTAATGCGATATTGGGCTGCTTAATTTAAACTCGGTAAAATGACCACTAAAATCAACTTGGAAATTCGAAAAAAAATCTTAACCATTGCAATATACGATATAGCTTAAACATGCAAAAATAATACGTTGAAAAAGCTTAAACATGGCGAGATAGTGAAGCCCGCATTTAAATATATAATAGATTGTTGCTTGACTCAAGGTCATTGGTAAACATTTTTAACAGCGAGTGTCGTGATCCCAGTTGTAATGAAAAATTAAAATTTTTTTTAACTTGTTTTTACATAATTCTAATTTTTTCGAAATTTAGGTATCATTTTAAAGTTTTGAACTCCAGTAAAGAAAAATAACGATTCTTGAAAACAGCGGTACATGTCAGCAGTGGTCATTGACCACTAACCCGTATTCAAAATAATTTCATGTTACTTTGCTGTTCTTGCTTTATCTAGTATAAACTAGAAAAAGCCTGCTCGTATATCAGGACAAAGCTCTGAATGTTCCGACTGCACTTTAAAGCCAATTAAGAAAAATTCTGCTGGAAAAAATTGACGATTTATTTTTCGGTCAAAACAGTGTTGCAAAACAACCCTGATGGTGACAGAATTAAAACTACCCGTGTATCAAGGCGAGGCCTTGAATATCTCAACAGCATTTTAACATCAATGGAGTATTTCAACCCTAAAAACTCAGATGAAAAATTCGAAAACCAAAAAAAAATTCTAATTTTTTATTTTTGTTTGAAAATTATCTACCCACCCGTACTGTATTTAAAAAACAAAGTGATATATGCTAGGTATCAGCTAGCATGTCTCACTGCATTTTGGAAAGTGCCGGATTAAATTGCCGTTTGCGAGTTACCAGGACGAAATTTAACGCGCGTTAAATGTCTCGAAGTGCCCATGTTTAAGCCCCGATATTTTAACAAAAAATGATCAAAGGCAGGAGCAGTCATTTAAGTCAACTCAATTTTTGTTCCGAGCGATCCCAAAAAAACTACAAAAACACTATTGTGTTAAAAAATTTTGCGTCAAACAGGAAAAAAAAATTTTGAATTTAGTATTTATTGGCTCCCCTGAATTTAGTATTTATTGGCGCCTAAGGTACCCTTAGAATTCTTTAGGGTTTTTAGCCAAAAAGTGATTTTTGATTGATGAGAGACCCTTGATTGGTGAGGGGTTCGAATCCGAATCCCTGAAGAGAAGAGCGTCCCCTAAATCCACCCCTGATGAGAGGTGAAATACCTTTTTAAATTTGAGCGCAAAACAACAAGAAAACTTTTCAATTAAGACAAAAATATTATGACAAAAATGGCTATTTCAATTACAGCAAATTTGTCTGGAGAAAAAATCACCCCAAACACAAATATTCCGCCACTTTCTTTGAAATTCGGAACAATAATTCGAAACTTATAAGTTAATAGACCTATCGGATTATTTTTACCTTTACCTGTCTGTCGGATGAGGGATTTAACTCTTCCGACAAGGTCATAAGTAGATAAGTCTGCTTAATTGACAGATTTAGCAAACATTAGAACACCCACCGTGGTTGTCTAGAATGTTCATGTGTCATTTGACTAAACTTGTGTTCAATTTCGAAGCTTTAGCTTCAAAACATACATTCGTATAGAATAAGTTTTTAAAGCAGACTGCTAAAGAGAAAACATATTGCTGAAGTTTTCATTTTTGCCAGTGGGAAATCAAGAACGACAAAAATGATGTGGAAAGGTATCTGCGACTGCCCGTTATCTCATTTCTGGATGATATTTTTTCCGCCGAAGAGTCGACTCTGTGGGAAAAACTGAAATATAACTTATGGTTTTGCCCAAGTTCCTCTGAAAGCCGGGCCATTTTAATATAATTTAATGTCTGAACAATTTTGTTGTAAAAACTCTGTTTCGAAGGTTTTATGCTTATTGAAGTTTAGCTCTTGAATGAAATCTCGATCTAAAATTAAAGTTAAGTTCAGAGTACACCAAAATTAAAGCATATCGCAAATTTTACCTCAAATTACGTACGGTTTGAACAGATTAGATTTCAAAACTTGACCAAAAGTTTTATTTGTGATTATTTCCAATTCATTTTCTCTGCTATTGCTAAGGCGACAAATTCAGCTTGGTACAACAATTTCTGGTTTTTATTGAGTATTCTGTTGATTAGACCACATTGACAACGTAAGGTAGGTTTTAGGGCAATTTTAGGTTACTCAATATAAAGTTATCGACTAGAGGTTCGAGCATGGGTCTTTTCTCAAGTTGCAATAAATTGGAATTTTTTATCAGTGCCCGAAAAAAAACATTAAATTCAGTCTTGATTAGTAAGTTAATTAAATTCAGGCTAAGTTAATAAGTCTTGAATACAGTGCTGATTTAAATTATCCGGACAAATCGAACAAAACTTGAATTTTCAAACGCGTTTTTCTCAAATTGGGTTAAGATTAGACAAAAAGTGAAGAGAACAAAATTTGCTTAGAATTTCACCAGAATTAATATGGTGCCATTTTTTCTCCAAAATTCTCAACAAAAATTTTACCACAAAAAAGTGTCATTTTGGCTTTTTTCAATTAATCAAGAATTACGCGGAAACTACTTTGTTAATTGATGAGAAAATTATATCACAGGAAGCCTCTTACGCAGCTCAACAAAGTTTAAGAAGGATTAAATCTCCAAAAACTAGTATAAGAGAAAAAGTTTTCACTTGATAGTCAATAAATGTGATTTTTACTATGTAAAACCCAGAATCTCTGTTTAAAAACAAATTTTAAACAATTTGCGCAAATTTTTGGAGATTTAACCCTTCTTAAACTTTGTTGAGCTGCGTAAGAGGCTTCCTGTGATATAATTTTCTCATCAATTAACAAAGTAGTTTCGCGTAATTCTTGATTAATTGAAAAAAGCCAAAATTACCCTTTTTTGTGGTAAAATTTTTGTTGAGAATTTTGGAGAAAAATGGCACCATATCGCAAATTTTACCTCAAATTACGTACGGTTTGAACAGATTAGATTTCAAAACTTGACCAAAAGTTTTATTTGTGATTATTTCCAATTCATTTTCTCTGCTATTGCTAAGGCGACAAATTCAGCTTGGTACAACAATTTCTGGTTTTTATTGAGTATTCTGTTGATTAGACCACATTGACAACGTAAGGTAGGTTTTAGGGCAATTTTAGGTTACTCAATATAAAGTTATCGACTAGAGGTTCGAGCATGGGTCTTTTCTCAAGTTGCAATAAATTGGAATTTTTTATCAGTGCCCGAAAAAAAACATTAAATTCAGTCTTGATTAGTAAGTTAATTAAATTCAGGCTAAGTTAATAAGTCTTGAATACAGTGATGATTTAAATTATCCGGACAAATCGAACAAAACTTGAATTTTCAAACGCGTTTTTCTCAAATTGGGTTAAGATTAGACAAAAAGTGAAGAGAACAAAATTTGCTTAGAATTTCACCAGAATTAATATGGTGCCATTTTTTCTCCAAAATTCTCAACAAAAATTTTACCACAAAAAAGGGTCATTTTGGCTTTTTTCAATTAATCAAGAATTACGCGGAAACTACTTTGTTAATTGATGAGAAAATTATATCACAGGAAGCCTCTTACGCAGCTCAACAAAGTTTAAGAAGGATTAAATCTCCAAAAACTAGTATAAGAGAAAAAGTTTTCACTTGATAGTCAATAAATGTGATTTTTACTATGTAAAACCCAGAATCTCTGTTTAAAAACAAATTTTAAACAATTTGCGCAAATTTTTGGAGATTTAACCCTTCTTAAACTTTGTTGAACTGCGTAAGAGGCTTCCTGTGATATAATTTTCTCATCAATTAACAAAGTAGTTTCCGCGTAATTCTTGATTAATTGAAAAAAGCCAAAATTACCCTTTTTTGTGGTAAAATTTTTGTTGAGAATTTTGGAGAAAAAATGGCACCATATTAATTCTGGTGAAATTCTAAGCAAATTTTGTTCTCTTCACTTTTTGTCTAATCTTAACCCAATTTGAGAAAAACGCGTTTCAAAATTCAATTTTTGTTCGATTTGTCCGGATAATTTAAATCAGCACTGTAGTTCTTAATAAATTTAACAAACAATGCCACTCTTTTTTTTTTTTAAAAAAATGAGAAAATTGAAAATTTTACAGAAAAATTAGCCTTTCTCTTGTTCTATTGAAATTAAAATTGATACTCCGTGGCAGGAGAGTTTTTGCAACATGCACAGCAATCTGATTCGACCACGAGATCTTGAAATGGTCCTTAGCAATGCTCTTTGAAAAATTATCATCAGGAACTGATTGATTTTTTAATAAAATATCAATGAGCTGGAAAAAAGTCGAAGTAGCACAAGAAAGTAGTTAACGTATTTTGATGTATTTAAAAGAAGATGATTTTATCCTATTTTTATTGCAATTGGTCCGATGTACAAAATCGAGTTTTTTTCAAAAACTGAAAATGGAGAGAAACTTTTTCTTCGGGTGTGTTTTAGTTTTTCACTTGCAAAATTACATACAATGAAAAATCAGAGAATGAATCGAGTAACAAATCATAATAATGCTCTTTCACTTGTTATGAGGCACTTTTATAAAGCACTTAGCATGGTGGACTTCTTGATCGTCAGACCGTGTAATCGGTCTCTATTGACATCTAGTCTCACATCTATCACATCGTGACCAATTTCGGCTGCTATAGTGATACTACTTGATAGTTCTAGACGCAAAAAAAACGAACTTGAGTCGCTAAAAAAAGAGCTTCGCTCAACAAAATAACTCAGTAACCAAAACAATCATCTAAAGTCCCGAAAAAAAATCATATAACTTCTTAGAACAGAAATTTTCAAAAACTTTCGAAAATTTTGTCGACCTTTTTTTAAGTCGACCAAATTGATTTTCCGAGCTCTCCCAAAGCACTAAAAAGACCCTGGTTAATTTTCCTGCCGCAGGAAAAATTTTGAAAAAGAGGTCAAAAAAGGCGTTTTTGGGCACTTTTTCGAAAATTTTGACCAAAAAAAATGCGCTTTTTGGCGTGCGCTCCCCCCTTAAAGAAAGTATATATTGGCGCCAAAAGCGCCTTTAGAAAATTTTTAGAGTCCGTCACCAAATATGAATATCTCAAAATAGTACAAAGGGGGGACCCTTTGGGTCGGCAGGGGGTCGAATCCCTGAAGGAGAACGTCCGCCCCCCCCCTCCGTTCTCCTCCCCCTAAATCCGCCCCTGGGTTCAGCCGACTGTCGTATTGCATAAACTGTAATACGACAGTTTACTGTAAATCAGGGAACTTACGACCAAGTTACCTATTTGTTTCATATGATATTTTTTACTTTTCTGCCTATATAACTCCTTGATAACAACAGGGAATGCAAGCTAAAGCATATGCAAGCAAAAAATCACAATCATCGATTTCAAGAAAAGTCTTCATAAAAACTCTCTTGCTCTGCAACAACCCAAAATTTAAAAGGTAGCACTTGGCCTAATTTGAAAATTTTTGTGATACATAAAAGCGTGAAAAATTCTCCATGAATAACAAGCAAACTTTTTTTCTTCCCTGGGCTGGTCCGAAAAGTCTAAATAATTAAATTGAAAATCTTCTTCACCTCTTCCCCCAAAATAGACTAGTTAAGCTCCTCTGCCATATTATTTAATGCGGATTAAACTTGCTTCAAGTTTCTCATAAAATCAGTTCAAGTTGGACAAAATTAACATTTCTCCGTCCCTAGGGCTTAAAGGAGAAAGTTTACCATGGTTCTTCTTTGCCCTTGATATTCGAAATAGTTGCACACTTCAAAAATGAAATTGAAAAACTGTTTCTTGAGCGCTTTTCATCATAAATTCTGTCCAGCAATAACGGTTATTTTTTGAAGTACTGTATACATGATGACGCTATGAGATAGCCCAACAAAATCAACATGCGTTCAGGTATATTGAAGAAATGTTTATTTTTTGCTGGTCGTTAAAAAATTTTTCACAAAAAAGTGTCAAATAAGCAATTTTGTCCATTACGTGAATTCACTTTAAGCTATCAGTAGAAAAAAATAATTCAAAAACAAATATTTTTTCGTTATCAGAAAAATATTCATTTCAAAAACATAAGATTCAATTTCAAAGTTCAGTTCCTTCGATTCGATACCGTGCAGAGAAAAGAACGAAATAAATTCATCTGCTGCATCAAGGCAGCTAGACAAACATTTTCAGCTTAACAAGTAGCTATCCTCTAGGAAAACTAACATAACTAACCAACGACAACAAATACTAACAAGACTGCTCGTATCAGGGCGAAGCCCTGAAAGTTCCGACTGCCTTTTGATGTCTATGGAGCATTAATAAGATGAAAAATTTCAAAGTAATAAAAAAAATTTAAAAAATTTTTGAAAAAATTTGAGATTTTATGTAAAAACCTCGCCCACACGTCATATTAAGTACAAAGTGATAGATTTTGCGCCTATTAACGAATCAAATATGGCAAATAAGCTTCCTTGAACCAATTTGGAACGATTTCTAAGACGGATTAAACCTCGCTTACGCGTTAAAAGCGCGAAATTTATCGCGCGTTAATTTTCCCGAATTGGCCAAAATGGCAATCTTTAAACCCCCATAACTTTACGAAAAATGATCACAGGTAAAATATCTTTTCAAATTCAAGCTCAGGACAACAATAGCTTTCGAATGATATAAATTGCGTCAAAAACGGCTAGTTAAAAAGTCGAAATTTGTCTGAAGAAAACAAACCCACCCCGAGCACAAATATTCCGTTACTTTCGTATCGAAAGTCGGAACAATTAGCATAGTTTAATGCTAATCAGTAAAACTTGCAAACCTGTTGACCATTAACCATACGTATTTATTTTGAGAGCTAGGAAAAAATTCCAAACTGAACATTGCTTATATGAAATTTACTGTACAGTTTTGCAGAAAGAGATTTTCTTTCTTATTCTCTAGAGTGTAAAAAGAATTGTGCAGTTTGAGTTTGATCCCATATTTCCACGTACCAAGTTTTCTGTTATTCCAGTTGAGTACTATATGTAATCAACTGGTGGTGAGAATTCAAATTTAAAAAAAGTTTTTGAATAAATGATACAAAAATATTGTCTAGTGAACAAGGTCTATTCATGCAAATTTGAAATTATGTTTTCAAGTTTACCATTTTGAAAAATGTTGTGGATCAGCGTGAGGCAAAAGAATTGTTATGAAAGTTTATGTTGCTACTGACGAGAGTGATAATATGCCTCAAAAGTAGTCCATGCTCATCGCTGAGAAACTTATACTTAAAATCAAGATATTTTTCCTTAGGGATAAAAATCTAATTCGTTCACATTTTCCTACTTATGGTAAATTCATACCCTAAATAGATTCGACATATATAGCATCAAGTTCATGGATAGGAGTAGTTAAAATCATGAGTAATCATTTTGGGTGACACATTTCGACGGTTAATTATCTCGAACTGATAATAGAAAAACAGCCATAAATATCAGATATTTAGTTCAGCTTCATAGAATGATTAAATTCAGACATGCATTCTCTTCGAGTTTTAACAAAAAGTCTTAACCTGGATGCATTCCCATGTCATCGCAAAGCTTCCCGCGGCTTTTTTCTCGCATATAATGATTTTTTCAAGACTTAATTTGCTATTGCTAAGTGCGACCATAATCAGAAAGACAGTATGAAACTATAAATACCTCATAAGCAGAAAAAATTTTCTCCCGCGCCCGTATATGCAGTTCCGTCAAGTCATGTCAGTTCATGCCCACGATATCTATACGACTCGCAAATTTGAGCTGGTTGACAATTAGAACACCCACATTTTTTCAGCAATTCCCCCATTATCGGTGGTGGGTACTTGAGGCTTATTATTAACCACTCAAAAACTGAACTGACATGACTTGACCGTATATGCAGTTCCGTCAAGTCATGTCAGTTCATGCCCACGATATCTATACGACTCGCAAATTTGAGCTGGTTGACAATTAGAACACCTACATTTTTTCAGCACTTCCCCAATTACTGGTGGTGGGTACTTGAGGCTTATTATTATCAAAAATTGTGATAAAGTTCACGAGAATTGGAGTACATGAGCTGCCCTGCCATTGCGGTAGTCCCCATTCCCGCATTTCTGCATCCCACCATCCCTTCATTCTCGTGTGGGGAGATAGTTCTTCTATCTGTATTTGAGGCATGTTTGATGTTTACCCAAACAAAATTGAATGAAGTAGTAGTTTGAATAGACACTCATATAGAAAAAACTTCAGGCGGCTGCTGATTGTCTGTTATGTACACATCTCATGCTCGAACCTCTTAATTGATTACGCTTTTTGTTGTTTTGGCGGTCCTGCTTAAGGAGATTTGATCCAAGATTCTTCAAATATATTGTACTTGTGTACACCTATACACTACTTTAGCAAACCTCATAATTTAATTTCAGGGCTACTAAATTGACCCAAAATGATCCAAAAAAACTGAGACTGATGGGGGCGTTTTTATTTTCATTTCTGCCGAATTTCACTTACCAAACGGCCTCATAAGCTTAATGCGTTTTCCTGAATGCAAATACCGTTACAATCTCTTTATCATGGATATATTGAAAAGGAACTGAATTAAACAGAAGCATTATACTTGTTCCATTCCTTAGCATATGCCGCCATTTCCTTCCATAAGGGACCATATTATAAGTTAAACTGAGATACAGCGCAAATACAACTACATTTTCTGGGCCACCACCACGCTATTACATACCATTCCACTTATATATTTACCATTTCTGCAGCTTTAGTTTATGCAGATATGTATAATCAAACAGAAAATTTGCTGCATTGAAAACATACAACGCTTTCTTGTTGATAGACCAAATTTATCAAGAGCTTTCAAGCGTAAAAAGTATTTAATTAGCCATACATTTATATATCTTTGTTTGAAGCTAGCTGAACGAATTTCATTGAATTCGATCATCATTTTTTCATTTTCATAACGTTACGAGACTAGAACACGTTTTTTGTGTTCTTACAACAATAAGTTAACATCATAGTTTAAACAAAAACGCCAACTGTTGTACCAAGTTAGACTACTCAAAAAAGTGACGCGGACTTGCACACATCCGCTGAGTCGTTGAACTAGTGATAACAGTTCAGTGACACTTCACTTATTTACCAATCAACTTAGCCCACGTTCAGTTGGGCCTTTGTTGATTGCCAAAATTGACAAAACCATCATTGAAACCAGAGCTGCAGAGATGCCGGACTCGATGATGTTCGAGACTCTAGTTGATCTTAGGGATCAACCGTTTGCAACCCTGGAAAAACCGACATTATCATCCGTTAACTTGAGTTACTCGATGGACGAATTGCATTTGAACAGCTATTTTTCTGCCTCGCGAGCTTTCGAGTTTCCCGAACGAAATTTAGTGAAGAACAGTCGTACGCAGTTTTTAGCGTTCCGAAGGCGCTCCATGAGTTCCCCGACGGATCCAAGTCTGCAGAGGATCGAGAGTTTCCAGCAGGAGTTCGAGGCGCTACTGCAGTCGTCAGCTTCGGCACACTCGGTTCATTCGTTTCTGAAGAATTGCCGAGAGAGAAGAGGAAGTGTCTCCGAGACGATAACAACTGAAGTAAGTTATCCACATTGGCAGTAATAAATAAAATCTTGAAATATTCTCCAAAATATCAAAATCTTGGAAAGTTTTTCTAGTTAGTCCAAAAATATTTTTTTTCTTTTTTTTGCTAACGCGATAATCTGTATTATGATGCCATTCACACGATGTCGGTGGGATATTCAAGGGTATTGCGTCACGGTTAAATATTCGAGCAGCCGAAAACAAAATCCCAGAAAGCAGAAACTAAACTAAAAACTGGCATCAAAACAATCAAATTAGTAGTATCGTATCGCGCCCACCTGAAACCTGATATCTGTAATTTGATTTTCAATCGTGAGTTTTCACCTGCCTTGAATTTATTAAGTTATTTCTTGCTACGCGTTGTTTTTTGTTGCGAGTTGTCGCCGTGCCACCTTGCTCAAAGGAGCCTGAAACTCTCGACTGGGTGACTTTGACCAAGAGTTTTTAAAAGTTTATATTCGATCTTTCTTATTGAACTTTTGAAAAAAAAATTCGAAGGACGCTGAATTGAGTCAAAACCTTCAGGGCTTTGCCTTGATAGATGCAGTCCTGTGTTTCTTGTCAACGAATAGTTTTGGGATAAATTTTTGATTTTAAAAAAGGTTGGAATTAACCATTACAGTCAGCGTTTTTTATTGTTCGAAGGAAATGACGAAATTGTTCTCATCGGGTGATTTTTTTGCAGACAATTTTCGAAATTTAAACTAACAGTTTTGGCAAAAATTATTTTTATCATTCGAGTAGAAAAAAAATATTTCACTGATATAAAAAAGTATAGTGGTATAAAGATTGCCAATTTGGGAAAAATATTGTGTGATTTATTCTTTGCTACCCGCCCTGAAGTTTCATCGATAGCAACCGATTCTTATAAAATTTTGGTGAGAAAAACATTGGACAAAAAATATTGATTATAGATGCTAGTTGTAGATTTTAAATCCACCTTTAATGATTATTATTGATTTTTTTCATGACAAAGAAAAACACTCATCATTTCAGGGGCGTATTTAGCGGTAAGAGGCGGGGGGAGGACGCCCCCTCTCAGGGATTCGACCCCCTGCCGACGCAAAGGGTCCCCCTTTGTACTATTTTGAGATCTCTGTTGAAGAGTTTTCTTTTGAAATCCAACAACTGTATATGAATTGGTTAATTTGTCGAGTGGTCTCTCAACTTTTATCCTATTTCAGACGTCTTAACATAATGACCTTGCGCACTGAAGATCATTCTATCATACACAATAAAATATCACATATTCCCCCCGTGTACAAATAGACGTAACCAATGTAATCCACTCTTTCAAACATTTCATATAACTCAAACTAACACTTTTTTAATCAATATGTATCACCACTAATTTAGGGCATCCTGCAACGATTCTAACATCAGTCAAAATTAGGAAAATTTTAACGTCTGTTGTTTTTCTTAATCATTGTTTCACATGTCAGATTGCAATGTTCCTTCTCTCTTCCTCTCCTTGTCGTGTCACGTATCGTCTGTTCCTGATTGTTCCGAGTACCATTGCTCTTGCTCGCTCGGTGATAAATCGCCATAATCATAGTTTTCGTCTAACTCTTTTTCCAAATATGCCACCGGTGCATACAAGCTAACCGCCTTGATAGAGTAGTCCGATGTTAGATCTATCTGCTTCAACATCCCATCCTCCAGTACTCCAAGTAAGTCTTTTCCACGCATAGCCTTCGTTAGGCAGTCGGCTATCATCAGCTGTGTTGGTACAAAATGAAATTTAATCCCTTCAAGTTGTATCAGTGAACGTACCATCGCAATATCTCTTCGCAACAATTTGACGTCTTCATTGAATTTCGGCACATCTACCTTGAATTTTGATGCTGTTATGGAGTCTTCCGATCCCCTTTGACTGCCAGTGAGTTGTTGCCACCTTTTTGGAGTCCTTTTCTCGTATCAGCCCTCGTATAAGCACTTGGCTCATTGTTGATCGATGTTTTTGAAACGCATCTTCATAGATTTCCATCTGCAAAATCCCAGTTAATTTTCTAAACTTCATTGACTGAATCGGCTGCCTTTTGTAGAATCGAACTATCGAACTACGTTATTAAGTGCTCTGATCACCCCCCCCCCCATGTTGGTCTCGTCTTCAACAGACTAAGAGCGTCCTTCAGCCTCATGGATAAATCTGGCCTGGTTAAAGTAGTCATCCATTGCAGCTTCCGGGTTAACGATCTCGCCATCGCCACCATTCCATCTCCTATGTTCGTTTCATTGTTCGCTAATGGTATATTGCCAAACTCCTGCATGGACATCACATTGTGCAACACTGGTTTAACTTCTATGTGGTCACTATAATTCGCGACACTGAGTCCTAGGAAGACAAAGTTCTGTCTTTTAATGGTGCCCAGTTTCAATCCTTCTAATGCTCATTGCACTCGATTCTCAATTTCTGTTGTTCCCCAAACAGAATGTCGTCTACATGTACAATAAGTAGCCCAATAACTGTCCGCTGTCTGTTTCCGAGTAAAATAGGCAATGATGTGTCATTGCTGCGTGTACAGTCAATTCATCAGAGTTCGATATCATTCGTGAGCTGCATCGCTCAATCCATATGCGGCAACAAGCAGTTTTCAACAATGCGTTTTTGGTATGTGCGCCTCGAATGGTGGTTGCACATATACATCGCCTTCCATTTTTCGTGATTGGAGGAAGGCCTTTTTGATGTCAATCGTCACTGATTCCCAGTTATGTGCCTTTATGATGCATAGTACAAAGTTACAGTCCGCTTTTGATGCAGATGGAGCAAAGTTCTCTACTAACAGATTCTTTTCCCCCCTTGGTCTACCCGCACAGCTAATCTCAAATTTGGCTCCTTTGGACCGTCATTCGCCACTTTCCAGGTGTCAACCCATCTAGTCCTCAGAATCCGTTTGCCCAGATCTCTAGCCACATGGTTGCTCACCAACTCGACCATTTTGAACATGTTCCATTCACCCAGCTCCTTTTATCGTGACATTAAGAAATTCTCTTGATTATCCTTCCAATCTGGTACTCCCATAACTTCTGCGTGCTGCATCAAATTCGGCTTTGACGAAGATATTGGATTTCCAAAACTGGAAATTTAGTCGTCAATTTGTTTCGTCGTTTGGGTCTTTCATTATTCGTCAGTGTTACTGGTGTGTCGTTGAGAAAATCTCCGTCGTGAATCAGTGATTCATTCGAGGTCCATCTGCCGAAAGTATTCCGTTCCAGTTGTCTGGCTGATTCTGATTGAGCCTCAAAATCATTTTTAGTTGAGTTGACGACGTCTGGCTTCCATGCCAGTTCTTTTCGATATTCATTTCTTGGTTGCCCATTTGTTCAGTTGCATTTTCTTTGTCCTCATCCTCCGTGATCATTGTTTTTGTCGTAGTTTATTCTGCTGCACTCCTTCCACTTCCTTCTCCGTCAGTGGTCTCCGTCCCTTCATTCTCCATCTCCCAGCTATTCGTCTCTCGGTCCTCCGTTTCTTTCTCTTCAGTGTCACTTCTTATGTCTCCTTCTCAAAATCGTAACACACTTGGTTCGCTTAGGATCCGTTTTGATTCTGTGGCAGCTACCGTCGCTTATCTTGAGTCCTTCCTCTTGGCATCTTTCTTCCTCTCTTCTTTGCTTTGTCCGAGCTCTCTTGAGTTTTGTTTGTTTCGTTTTCATTCCGGTTGAGCTCAGTTGCTTGTCATCTCGCCAATTAGCCGCAGTCTTTTTAGCTGACTGATTCACTTCTTCCTGTCAACGTATTCTTTAATACATTTCGCTCATATCATTCTATCTTCAGTTATCTTTATTTCCCTGTTCTTATCTTTTTCTACTTACTTTTTGGTCAACCTTCCCCTTTTTTCCCCAGTTTTCTATAATTTTGACCCTATCATTATCCCAATCTTTTGCTGGTTTCACTCGCCAATAATGAACATGAATCATTTTCGATTTCAACTAAATTTTTTCGACCTTTTAGTACTTTCATATCAGACTCATTGGCATTGTCACATCTTGGTAGTATTTTTCCTTCTGGCCCCCCATTTTTTGGATTTGATTCGTAAATTCACTGATAAGAGGAATTACCAATTACATCTAACATTGAATTTTTTGCAAATAGAGCACTTGCGACTGTTGCTTTTGATGAGAGTTCCCGAAAATGTTCTATTGTCAGTTTTGTCAGCATTCCCTTAATGATACCATCATGTTTCTCGACTACTCCATTGGAGGAGGGTGCATAACCGGCTGTGGTTTTAATAAAACATCCAAAGGTTGACATTGATAGTCAGGTCAGGTCCTTATTGAAATCCTCTCCCAAGTATTTTAGAATAATTACAGCTGTGCCAAATCGCATACACCAACCAATTATAATGTTCTTCATGACTATAACTGGTTTCTTAGATTCCACCACAGTTTCAATTTAGAAACACGAAATTTCATCCATCAAGTGTAACCAAATAATTTTTTCATTTAATTTAGGGTCTGTTCATTCTGCTAGGTCATTCGCCACCGAATTGTTAGAGTCATTACTCCTGGGAGTCAATAAATTTCTGACATTAGCTACTTTTCCGGTTTCATTAGAGGCGGTGCAGTTTGCAATTACATTTTCGATTACTTCATCTGTTTTTTTGGTTCATAGGTTGTTTTCATCCCGGACTCTTCCATGAACTTTTTCATTCTATTTTACTCGCCTGGCCAAATCTACGATGGATATCAAGAATTTTTCTATCAATCTCCTCATCACATTTTCTTTCCGTCCAATATATCTTCTCTTCTATTTTCATTCGTTGTTTTATGTGCAGCTTTTGTGTATCCACTTTTACTCTCCATATTCGATTTCCTACACTCGATCTGGTTAGATACACCCTTTTTCTGGGGTCCACATCAGGTTGTTTGGGGAATCTAGGGTTACTTTTAGTTTTTCGATCGCTTCCATTCCAAGAAATAGTGGAATGTCATCATCAATGACCATCAATTTTTTTTCTGTAATAAAATTTCCCGCTGCCAGAGTTGGTAAAAACACCACAATTTCAGCTTTGATTACTCCTCCTCTCTAATCTTCCCCATCAGAATTCTCCTCAATGTCCGTACTTCTGGCAGTCGTTTGAAAATTCTGATTAAATCTTCTACTTTCATAGATCTGTAACCACCTTTTCCTTTTTGATTTTGACCCTTGTTTCCCATATGATATCCCCTTCTGTGGTTCTGGTTGAATAGGATATTAGAGGTTTGTTTCTCCTTTATCGTAAATCTCCGCAATGTCTGCTCTACCACAATTGGGGCCATTCTCGCTTCCGTTCCCTTTGTCCCTTGTTTCGTGCTATGTTCTGGATATCAATTTTTGTTGCTTCGTCTAGATTGGAACGTAGGAGCGCTATACAAAACACTCTGTCATTACTTGCCAGTTCAGCTTCGTTCGTTTCCCTCCTATATCGCTTCACTCTCTTCATATACTCATCTCAACTTATCTCCGGACCTTTTTCACATCTTTTCCATTGTCTTTAAGTTTGCGCTAATTTTAGAAATGGATTTGGTGTCAAGTACACATCCAGCATGTCAATTACTTTGGTTATCCCAGATTCGGTTTGTGCCTGGTCTCGATCCATTGTAATAACGCTTTTGTTCAATTCTGCATTTGTTATCTCATTCATAAGGTTATACGGTGCCTGCATTTTTAGTGGGATTTGCGTGCATTCACTCCACCACGGTAAATTTTTCTTCTACCTCCGATAATCTTCCACTTCTGTTGACTTCAAATTCGGTACCTTTACATCTTTCAATCTGACCGTCGATGTGTCTCTTCTATTCTGTTCTCTCATTCCATCCAATGCTTCTCACTCTTCCAATGCTTCTAACTTCCGTTTTAACATTTCCAGTTCTAATCCGACATCCTCCACACTACTGTTGCTTGTGCCCACCTCGGTACTCCCCACAGATAGCTGTGGAATCCATTTGAATTGCGTTGTTGTGTCCCCTGTAGGAGTTCCTTCGTTCTCTTCTTCTGCTTCTTAATTTTTCATCAGTGATGCTTTTCTCGTTCTCATCATGCTTACCCCTCGTTCGATCCTCAATGCTCTGCGTGACATTCATTTTAGTATTAAAATTTTTTTTATGAAGTTAATTTCCTGCTACCATGTTGAAGACTTTCCTTTTGAAGTAAAATAACTGGTTACGAATTGACCTTGTGCCTAGGTTGGAACCTAGGAGCGCTATACAAAACACTCTCTCATTATTTGTCGGTTCAGCTTCGTTCGTTTCCCTCCTATATCGCTTCACTCTCTTCATGTATAATGACAGTGTGCACTGAAGATCTTTATATCATACACAATACATATCGCACGAAATCCATATTTGGTGACGGACCCTGAAAATTTTCTAAAAGCGCTTTTGTTGCCAATATGTACTATTTGTGAGGGGGGGGGGGGGAAGTATGCGCGCGCCGAAAAAGCGCGATTTTTTGGTCAAAGCTTTTCAAAAAGTGTCTAAAAAAGCCATTTTTGGCTGTTGCAGAAATTTTTGACAAATGCAGGGTCTTTTAATGGTGTGAGAGAGCTCGGAAAATTGACAATATTTTTCCCGAGAAAATCCTAGATCCGCCCCTGCATCATTTTCATTTTTCTTCCAATATGACCAATTTTTTCTCAAGATAAACCCATGAAAGCTTATTTGTTTCTCCTCAAAAATCCATTATCATTGATTGTTTTCTGCAGTAAAGTTATTTACTCAGCCTGTTTCTGAAAACTATGACAATAAAAAGAAAAATTTTGAACTGAATATTAAAGAAGGTGAAAACAAACGGAACCTATTCACAAAATCATCTTTTTTTGGCTGTTTTTTTTGTGGAAAACTGGGGGTGCCCAGCCCCAACCCTCTCTACCGTTCAACCAACCCCCCCTTCGACCATTAAATACCCCCCCCCCCCCATTCAACCCCCTTTATCGATATTGAAAGTGGGCGACTGGCAGTTTTTTGGGGGCGACTGAAAGTGGTCGCAACAGTCTTAGGGCCAGAAGAAAGGGAACCCTTCGAGTGGTTTCAGGGGGTTGATTAACCGAAGGAGGGGATGGGTGGCACTGATTGCAAAGAAAAAGGTTTTGAATGGTATGTTTTAGAAAATTCAGAAACGGCGGAGGCAGAGCAGCTGCAATCCACTTCAGACAGAGTTTTTGGCTGCTCAACTGGAGCGGCTTCTTGATGAAAACTCGAAAGCTTTTTTTGATATTCCGGATGATCTGGACGACGATGATGGCAAAACCGACGAAAACGACTGCCCGAATTTTTCTCTTGGGTCACCGAAACGAAAAAATAGCGTCACCAGTCATTCTCGCCGAGTCTCATTTGCCCAAATGCTCAATTTAGACCCCAAAATTAAAGTAACTGAGCCAACAGATGACAAAGTCGACTCAAAAAATGTTCGATTTGCAGACATGTGTGGCAAAGCATTGGCTGAAATCAAATCTTTTCAGATACTTTCACAGCTTGACTTCAGTGTTTATGACTCGCTGGATAATCTTCCAGACTTTTCGGATCTAAAGAACAAAGAAAAATCTCTCCTGCCGCTGTTCTTTCTGCCGACTCACCTTTCGGCTTTCGGACAACATGTCGCCGAAAACCACGTCAAGTTGGAGGCAATCAATGTCTTCGGGTTGCGAGTTGTGGGCTCTGTTCTAGTCGCCAACTTGAGCTTTAATAAGGAGGTTCGGCTAAGATATACACTTAACCAATGGGAAACGTGGAGTGAGGTTACATTGTCGTACGATCAAACCATTGAGCACGAGAGTTCATTCGACCGATTTGTCTTTGAAGTCGATTTCAATCGCCCTGAATTGGACAACAAAGTTATTTTTTGTATCAAATATACATGCGATACTGGGGAGTTCTGGGATAGTAATGAGGGCATTAACTACACATTGAAGCTTGTTAACTAAAATGAGTGATTCATCATAAACTGGTAGCAATTATTTAACCAAGACGAGATAGTAGTTTTATTCTTTTTTTATAAAAAAAACTGCGTTCAAAAGTAGACACAGCCAATGAACTGACAAGTTCATTCAATCATTAGAAGCTTAACTCCTTTAGTTTTAGTTGACATTAATTTTTATTACAACATTGCTGGGACATGGTTTTCATAGTCACGTTCTGAGGGCCTAAAACCATCCTATTTGCACCCAAATTCCGATTGCGATTTTTACCAAGGATTTGCCAAAAATAATTATCATTTGTAGATCAGAGTCAGCGAGATAGTTGAAGTCGATTACTAAAAATAAATAAAGCTCTATGGTATTTGATTTTTAAAATGCTGCCACTATTCCGACCTACACATAATGATAAAACTAGGCAAGACCTGGATTCCGTTTTTTGGGAAAAAATGGGCCCCGTTGAAGTCAATTCTCGATTTGTGTGTGGAATATAAATTGCTTTTGTTTATTAGCTTGCTCAGACTAACCAGGAAAAGTTATTAATAGATTTTATATTTGTATCTTTTTAAATTGGTGCACTATAAATACAAGTGCAGAGCTCTTCAGTGAAGACCATTGAAACAATTGAGTTTTATGAGAGAATGTATCGACCGAGTTTTGGTATTTCAAAAGTGGTGCAACAAAACTCTGTATTTTTAGGCCACCAAACCAAAAGTAGGTATTATTTTCATCAACAGCGGATTAAGGTGGAGAGTCGCGGTTGGCGGACGCCATCTCTTCGTAGGGATTCGACCTCCTGCCGACGTAAATGGTCCCCATTTTCTACTGTTTTGAGATATCCATTTTTGGCTGACTGACCCTAAAATTTTTCTTACGGTGCCTTTGGCGCCAAAATGGATTAACTTTGAGGACGCGCGCGCCGAAGAAAAGCGATTTTTTGATCAAAGTCAAAATGTTCCAAAAAGTGCCTAAGAACGCCTTTTTTGACTTAATTTTTCAAAATTTGCCTGCGACGCAGAAAATTCGGTCAAAATGGTTTTTTATAAAGATTTGTGAGAGCTCGTAAAATCAGTTTAGTCGAACTAAAATTTTTTTTTGAAAATTCCCCCCCTCCTCGAGAAAATCCTCTATCCACTAAGATAACTGTGAAACTCAAAGCCGAGATGAAGCTTAAGATAACAGACGAGCTGATTCGAAATTGCTTTCATCACAAATTCAGATCTGAAGTTGAATTAGTGATTTGGGAGCGCTCAGAAAATCATTTTGGTTGACCTTAAAAAAACAAGTCGACAAAATCTTCGACTTTTTGAAAATCCGCCCCTTCCCCGAGGAAATCCTACATCCGCTCCTGATCCATACTTTTCTGACCAAAACATAAGTCCGCGTCAAACGCATTGTAAAAACTTATCCGTAAACTGACTCAACTAAAACAAAGTATCCGCCCGCAACCAGCACAGCCCCAGAAAATAGGCGCAACCAATAAAAAGTTAACCACGACTGGCACACCTTTCGGGGCTGATACGCGTTGTAATTGCTACAAGTTTTCAATATTTTTGCTATTCATGCATTTTAAAGCATACTAGCCATAAAATGGTATATGCTATACAATTCGGCATCACTAGTTTCATAATAACAAAAATTCGTTAACTGTTTCAAAATAACAAATTGTGTTCTTTTTCCTTTTTTCCGAAAAAATTTAGGCTTAGTTATTGCAAAATCAAGTATTTAACAAACTATTGCTAACTTTCAAATTTTTGTTACAGATAATGGTTGCAAAGGATGTGGCTTAAGTTCAATTTTTCACGAATATATGTCTTGTTCATTGTGAATTATTTTCACACTACACAGTGACTCATTATTTTTCGACCACACCGTGACTCATTTTTAGACTATAAAGCTATTGATTTTTAAACTACATCCACTGGAGCATTGGGAAACGATAATAAGTTTTTGACATTTGGAATCAACAGTAAGTTGATTTTTTTCACCTCTGGGAGTGTATAGTAATAAGTGCTGAAGGTAACAAGCCTTTTTCAGCATGTAAGATTTTGTCATGGTTTCAGATGATTGAAGAGCCATCATTGGCGTCTTATCATTCAAATAGTAAAATTCCGGTTGAGCTCTAAAACTTCTTGTTGGCGCATCTAAGCCTTAGAAATGTAGAATATATATGAACTTACAATCTGGTAATTTTTTTCTACTTTTGAGAAAATGCAAACTGTTAGGCTGGAAAACAAAGTCAGTTTGAAAAATCTATAAAAATGTTTTATCTGTTTAACTAAATTGCTACTGAATAAATTGCTAGTGTTAATACAAAGCAACAAGAAAACTCGATCAGGAGAAAACGTTAAACGTTCCGGCCCCATTTTAATTTTTATTGATTAGTTCAAATTAAAACAATTCATAAAATTTTCAAAAAAAAAGTTTAAAATATTTTCCCAGGAAATTTCACTCCCGACGCTATGTGAAGTACTCAGTGAAATATTTGGAATACAGCAAATTAATAAAAAGACTAAGGAGCATGCCTCAATCCAACTTGTAACGGTTTCTAAGACGGATTAAATCTCCGCCTACGCGTTCATAACTCGCAATATACCGCTGGTTTATTATCGTGGATTTAAAAGACTCTTTGTTTTTGTTTTGTTAAAAAATCAAATTCACTGATAATCTTGGCGTTCTTTTCTTAGGTAACTGTCGTATAGTACTATAGTAACCTTCCCAGTGTCAAATCATCTAATGATTATGCGATTAACAATCTGTGATTAACTGGCTTTTCAGCATTATCAACACTCTGATTTAAACTACATTACCGATCAAAACACTTTTAAAATGTAGCCCTCTAGGCACCACTTTCAAAATGGTCAAAATCAAAGCACGACTTTTTTTTACTTTTGGGGCTACAATCAAAAACATCATCTATTTTCTAACTATACGACTGAATTGAAACATTTACAACAAATCTTCTGCAAATTTGGTCTGTTATTTTATTTATCACAAACTATAATTTCTGTAGTCGTAACTAGTTTATCTGTGCTTGCCTTTTGTGATATCAAACAGCTTGTGATTCACGATTTTGCTCGTTTCCAAAATAAACATTTTTTCGTTGCTTCCACAGCTCAGTTTTTTTAATCAACTCCTTGCGTCTAAAACGCACTTCATTGAAAAAATTTTCGAAAAAAAGTTTCTGCCCTTTATCGCCGCCTTTCTGCCCTTTTATCGCCGCCTTGCGTCTAAAACGCACTTCATTGAAAAATTTTTCAAAAAAAGTTTCTGCCCTTTATCGCCGCCTTCACTGCTACTATTATAAACATTATGATTAAACTTCCAATCCTGCAAAAATCGCATACACTCTTCCAGAAAAAAATATCTTCAATTTGATGACGTTCATCCAAATCCGAGTTTATTGATAAATTTTACTATCGTCTCACAAAAACCTATAATACTTCTTTGATCAGATTAAACCTTACATTGAAACTACAGAAGCCTAACCAGGAAAAGCTCAGATCTGAAATCACAAATGAAAACGATTGATAATCACGATTTTTGGTTTTTGAAATCGTGGCTGATTGACACAAACAAGCAGAGTTTTCGGGTTCTAGAAAATGAAACATTTGCTTAATTCAATTGTGACAGTTCGGTTGAAGTCAGCAAAAAACCAAAACTATCAGGCTTCAGTGTTCAAAAAATTTAATCTTAAACTACGCGAAGACTTAACAATTCTGCGCAAAACCTTTTACAGTTTTCTGCATGTGCATAGGCTGAGTTCAAGTTTGCATTAAGTCAAATTGAAAGAATCACCAATCTAAACGATCATTGATCCAAGCAAACTTAACAAAACTGAACTTGTTCAGTCGATTAACCATGTACAATCATTTAGTACAATAAAAATACTTTTAGGTGATTGTAACCTAATTTATCTCAACATCAACGATAAAGATTCATTTGATTTCTTTTTCACACTATAATCTCGAGTTTTACTTATAAAACGTTTCAATCACTCAAAATCCAAAATTTGTTCTATAATCACCTTTTTGCACCGCCTACAAAATTAGATCATCTTGCAAAAACTTTCATAACCGGTTTTAAAATATGTGAAAAAATTATTTTCATTGAAACGCAAAAAAAACGCGAATAAAAACGCGATTCATTTACGAGCAAATCAAACTAGCAGCAAAACTCAACAATTTCATTCGGAACATAATTGTAAAGGCGATTTGAATTTTGCTCCACAAAAAATGAACCGTGAATGATTCGAAAATAAGAAACTACAGATAAAATTAAAAGAAAGTGACTTCATATCAAAAAAAATTTTTCAAAAACAACAAATTGAACGAGAAAATTGGAAAATTATTCAGTACACAAGAAACTCATCTTTTTTAGAAAAAAAACAACAACGAACAGCATTTTTGTTCTGAAAAACTTTTTTCTGTCTTTTTCTTTTCAAATCCTTTTCTCTTCATACATTTTAAGCATTAGGTTGTTTCCATGAACAAAACAAAAACTTGCCTGACTGTAAATCTATATGAAACCATATTAGGAAACAACACACCACTTTTGTTCAGATGTAATAATACAGCAGGATGTAACCGATAATTTTTCAAACTGAATGCAAAAAAAACGCTAAGATCTATCTGAAAACCCATAATGGGGTCCTCAAGATGAATGCAATAAAATCTTCAAACATTTGTCACACCTAGCTAAAAACAAACGATCACTCAGGGTTATCAAAAACTTTCAAAAACTTTTTTTAAAACAAAATAATGAGAATAGTTCATCACAAACTATTTTGGGTAACACTCAATTTGGTTTCCTGCTCAAGAAACATCCTGCTCAAGAATTGATGCTTTTTTACTTTGCACGGAGCCATTCAGAAAACACAATGATACCAACAATTTCTCTACATTATTGTTCCTTATTAGATCTTTTGAAGGCAGTCGATTCTATTGAATAAAATCATTTCAAACAAAATCTCTTCAACCGAATCAATTAAAACCACACAATGGTTTTTCAACCGCTACAGAGTTGGTAAATGTTTTTATAAGCGAACGATGTCAGATTACCAAATCAACACAAAATCCCGAATCTTTTTGGGTCTCACTTCATCAAGGTGTTCCACAGGGCATTCTATTCGGACAACCCACTTTCAACCTCTACATTTTTAATCGTAACAAAAAAATTAGTAATTCATGCAAAGTAGCTCCTCAAAGAGATAATGCAGTTCTTTTCTGTAGACGTCAACACATCAGATCTAAGCAGATCAATTTGGAAAGAAAAACTTATCAACTTGATTAGAGAACATATGATAAAAGTTGAAAAAAAAGATACGCACAGCCCTAAAAGTTTTTGTCATCAGTCATCTACACTATCCTGCCATCCTATTATTTTGATTTTTGGCCAATTTGTCAATCTCATTAGAAACACAACTCAGATGGGCCATGAAAACATGTTCAGATAGTGCAAAATTGGATGAAAAATCAACTCTATCGCCGAATTAAGAAAAATCACTTTGAAATCAATCACAATAAAATTAACACTAGAAAGAAAAAACTCTCCTGTCAAA